AGTGACGTCTGTGTTTGCATCCAGCCTGATGCAGGTGAGAACTAAACCAAGATATCCCTCCAAATTCCCATAGATGCTGCAGAATACAGAGTAGCACCTTTTTTTATTATTATTATAAATCAGCGTGGTAGCAGAATTCAACAAACAAGAGGTAAGATATCTCAGGAGTGTTAGACCAGCTGAGAAGGGCATACGCTTCTGCGTTTTTTTCATTTCAGTCAGGTGTGCTAAATACTACGTTCACTGCCAGGTGTGAATATGTGATCTTGGTCTCAAAAGATTTTAAAGCAAAAGTGGACCTTTCAGCTTATTATTTGCATGTTTTATTTGTTCAGTTAGAACTACTTTTTGCCTTTGACACTGTCCCAAGCAAGAAGTGGTGCGTACCGATTCCCCAGATGTGTGCAGAGCACTGCTCTGATGAGGGTAATTCCTGGTGTCCCGTTGCTGCTGTGATCTCAGCTCTGAGGCAGGGCTTTGCCATGGGTGCTGGAGGGTAGAGGAACACTTCTGTCTGTCCTGTGATGTTTTTGGTTTTCTAATCACAAATAAACCTTTGGTGTCCCTGCCCGTGGCAGAGGGGTTGGAATTTAGGTGGTATTTAAGGTCCCTTCGAACCCAAACCATTCTATGATTCTCTGAGTCATAAATTGGAAAGGGCTAAAACTTGTTTTGCAACCACAATTCTTCAGCTGCCCCACACTAATTGGGAGCAATAGTTTTCCTGAGTTCAATATGAAAATGAGTTCTGCATTATTGACTTTTTGAGTAGCCTTACATTTTTAGTTTCAAACATGTTGCAAAAGTTCGTACTGGTGGTGTTTTGTAAGTTGGCTGCTGTACCAGTCCCTGAATCCGAGAGATGTGACAGATGGACAAAATCTGCTGCAGAGCCTGAAGAGCTGTGAATCTGCCTCCGCTGCCACACAGCTCTGTGGTCGTTTCCCTGAAAGCCACTGGAAAAAACTTCAAATTCCTCTGGGCAGCAAAGCGGTGTAGAGAGACTGCATCAAATGTGAGCTCACTTTCAATTAATTGTGCAGGAGAAAAAGGTGTTTTGTGTTTATTGAAATCAGACCTTGGATCAGTGCTGTTCCAGATAGGCTGCTGTTTATATCACATGGAAGCTTCTTTCTGCACTGCTCTTGGGGATATGAAGCTCATCATACAGCATATGATGAGCTTCTTCAGGCTTTACGGGTGCATGCTGATTTGGATCAGAATGCCACTGAAAAATATTTGATGCAGATTCTGCCAAATTCAGTAAGGTGAGGTTGGGTGCAGCTGCAGTTCAGTTTAGTTCACCTGCCAAAGCACAAATTCTGCTCAACAGACTTGTAAGACAGCGGCAAAGCAAAATGCTGTTGAACCCTGACCAATTAGAATTCTCATTCCCAGTTTGATTAAAATGAACTTCTGAAAGAGAAGAATCTGCTGCTGCCACCTACCACAGAACAAACAGCCACTGCTTAAGCTGGACACAGGTTTTTTATGTTAAAGTTATCTCTATGTGAAGAGCAGCTCTATCAGCGGTTGGTTTGGTATATTATGGAAGACAAGCGCAGGGACAATGGTGAAAGCATAATGTAAACCAAACCTGGTAACACTCGAAGCGTAGTTGACACTGTCCCAGTGTTCAAAAAGCATTCCTTTAGTCCAACTTAATTTCTGCTGTCTGGTGACAAACTGCAGGCTCACGTGAATGAGGCACATTGTTAGCCCTCCTTAGATAAGCAGGAAGAGTTTTCAGCAGGTGTGTTTGGGCAAAACTTCTGGAATGACTAGTTCCACCCAGCTGCCGAAGCAATGCCTGCAACGTATTAGATCCTTACAAACTCAAGTGAACTTGCAACTGCAGTTCTGTGTGCTCTGTGCACTGCAGCTCGTCTCGGGGTGGTCTAGAAGAGAGGAGGCAAATGGGACACAGGAGACCTTGCAGGAGAGTGTGATGCAGAAGCTTCCTTTGCGGTGTATTGATCTGGGAGGCTGATTTGGCCTTCATGACCGTTGGACTAACTAGTGTGAAAAATCCAGACAGTAAATGTGTCTTAGCAGTAAAACTGTGAGTAAAACTGAAGACGCTGTTCACTTATCAAATATTATCTGTATACTTTGTGTGCCAAGAAAGCACTTCCCGTACAGCTGAGGGAAGGCAGTTTTAGCACTCAGTCAGTTCTTGGCTCTTTTCGACCACCTCAGCAGTCCTGTGCTGCTTTGTCTGAGAAAAGATGCTTTTTCTTCTGTCACCTGGGCAGTTAGTCAGGTATCTGAGTCACCAGAACAATTACACTTTGATTGCATGAGGTTTAGTGAGGAGTACCATGGAAAAGTAAATTCTGATTTCAGCTCCTGGAATCCGTGAAAAAAAAAAAACGTAACTGGGGCTGGATTCCAGAACTAGAATACTGAAGAAGTGAGGTTTTATATACACAGGGATACAAAATTTGCCCTCTGGAAGGTGAGTGCAAATGTTGGTGTCCTTCAGTGTTTGCTGTCCTGCCTGTGAGTGTATCGCTAACCAACAGCGCACGTAATGCGGTGGATGCTGTTGACTCCCTTCACGTACCAGAAAAGAGCCACACACAAACAATATTTAGAACAAATTTGGAATATGAAGGAAAAAGGGGTCTAATGCCGGAGTCTAAAGCAGGCTAGCCAGAAGAACATGCTCCGATTGGGTGGCTTCTTCAGTCAGGCAGGGCGCCAGAGGGGCAGGGGTGGTGGACATGGGAGCACCAAGCCCTGTGCTTTTGGGCTTCAGAGCCCCGAGTCAGGGGATTTTTGGCTGAACCACATGGAGCGACTGGGGAAAACCCCATGGAGAGGGGTCTGCTACAACCACCTAATGCACAGCAGGGTTTCTGGAGAGGGATTTTAATGTGAGAGTCTTCTAGGCTTATCCGATGTGAGAATAAGACAGCCTCTGTAACTGGCTGGGAGTTTTTCGCTATGGCCAGGTATAGGCTGGGATTGGATAAAAAACCACGCGGTAGCGAGGAGTTCACAGATGCCGCGTTCCCCTCCGTCTGCCAGAACATATGAAATATAAACTGTGCATAAAATTCAGGCAGTAAGATAAAATGAAGGTATATGTTTAATTTAATGGTAACCATGCTAATGTTAGTCTGTATGTATGCAGGATATTTAATTTGCTTTGTGCTTAACGTAATCACTTCCATTTCTCATTTTGGAAGCGTTCAACCGGCGCTAAACAAATCAGTGCTTTGGCAGCTCTGAGAACTACCGGCAAATTAAACAAATGCTTTTGAGCAAATTGCAAAGCAAACTCTGCACGAGGCTAAGCCACCTCACCCAGACTGGCTTGAAACGATGAAGGCAGCGAGCACTATGCAAAAGATGTTTAATTTGCATTAGAGAGAGCTAGTGCAGCTTAGCCAACACCTAGTCCTACCAGCACGGAGCGTGATGCAATGAGGGTCTCCCCCACAGCAGTGAACTGGTGCCAGCCCTGGCTATAACTGTTTATTAGCTCAGTGGGTCAAGGTCACTTACACAAGTTGCCCATAATCCTGCTGCAATTGCCTTCTCCCCTGAAGGGTGTAGCTGCAGTGAAGAAGCCTGCGTGGGAATCTCATTTGTCTCACCAGGACCGCAGTTTTGAACTGTAACTTGGCATTGCAGCCAGAAACACTGAGGATGCGGTTTAATGAGAGATCTGGCTATTCCCAGGATCGCAGCAACACCTCTCCGACTGAAATTTTTCTTCACTGTAATAAACGGTGTAGTCAAGTTGAGAAGCGTTCTTTTTAAAATGAACATAAGGTGATTACAAATAGACCATTATGTCCGCGTTACACACATTCAGATGTTGGATGATGACTTTTTCTTCACGTCCATGATAAGAGAGCTTGTCATGAAGCCATTTTCCCATGAAGTAACAGCACCTACAAGTTGTTTAACAGATCTGTACAGATCAGTGTGGGAGGTGAATAACTGATTATTCCTCCGAGGAAGTGAAATTTTGGGGTTTTCTCTTTTTGCCTTCTCTCAGTGCTAATGCATGGCATTTTAAATGTTTTTCTCACATTTTGGTTACGTTTATGAAGTCCTCATTTGTTTCGCATCAGGTGGATCATTAGGTAGACAGAATATCTGTGGGAACTTTGATGGTCTAAGTCTGGGTTTTAATTTTTTTGTCCCCAAAAGATAGTGCTGCTAAGCTCTTTCTAAATGAGACTGCATTTTGAAGCGAACTGAGATCAGTGTGGCACCTGTGCAACATTTAAATTACCCTGGCCCCGAAGCAGGTTGGGAAAACCAACTCTGAAATGAGGCAGTTTATCACCTGAAAATGTGCTTTTAATGAACTGGCTATCATCATTTCCAGCAATCTTTCTGGATTACACAATTCTGAAAGAGATAAACAAATGTTGGTAAATGTAACTATGCACTTGAATCTTTTTGCCCCAGGTCCATAGCTTTTGCTAGGTGGTTTTTTCTTTCCAGAATGAGGGAGATGTTTCTTGTTCGATGGGGTGGATCAGTAGCTGTTTAATAAAACAACAATTCACAGTGGTATTTTGCTTGAAGAGGTATCGAACCTCTAGAGGTGGGAAGCAATCCTCCTGGAGTTCCAATAGGCTGGGCCAGGCCAGTGATGAAGAGAGGTTTGGGCACGAATTCAATTAACGCAGTTAAATTCATTCGGTATTGAGGTTGCTTAGCCAACGCTATTGTATGCCCATGTGTGAGTTTGCAGGTGCCGTGGCAGAATCGCTCATTACGTATTTGCGTGGGAGTTAATAATAATTAAAATATTTCAAGCCAGCTGCTGTATGCAGCGTAACTACAAGTGCGCATCACCTGGTCATTATCTCTTTATAACACCTGTGAGAATTTAACGTGGCGAAAATTTAGGTGTCTGAAGTATGATGTTCTTACTTGTGCTTTATCCGTACACTTATTTTACATGATCTGTTTGGGCTGTGAATGCAGGAACTCCAGTAGGTGTTTATCGAAATTTTAATTTCCTCTTTCAGGTAATACAGCCAAGGTACTAATTGAAGTGAAGGATGAAAATGACCATGTGCCTGTCTTTACAAAAAAAATGTACATCGGAGGAGTGTCTGAAGATGCCAAAATGTTTTCTTCTGTGCTTAAAGTTAAGGTAAGACTGAATTTTTTTAAATAACATGGTGGGGGGGAAAATATTTACTCACGGGTTTACTTTTTCACTGGAGCTTACGAACTATGTTTCTGCTAAAACTGCTTGAACTTTACAGGCACTGGCACTAATGTCCATTTCATTTTTTCTTATGAACAAATATAGTGAGCACAGGATGGGAAATTCTTCTTGTTAAATCAGTGCTGAGTGTGAATACGAGTGTGATGGTTTCCATTTGTGTGTGTGTGACTGACATGCACTGGCCCAGTATTCCAGCAGTTACAGACTCAAGGTTAATTTTGAGCTTAAAAGTCAGGTTTTATTTCTGTTGCATTTTACGTGCTCATGTCTCATTTCACAATTTGTAGCTGTCATTTTAGAGGTGTTAAGATTTAGAGCATTATTTTGTGCTCACCAGCAATTTTTCCCTTAAATTTTTCCGACTGCTTCTTTGGCAGCAGCACGCTTATGCTTTGAAAAGAGAAGAACAGTTTCTGTTTCAGGTCCGCAAAGCAATTTCAGATCTGTGCACGGTGATGCAATTGTGAGTAAAATCGCCTACGTCTGTTTGGGGGTTTTTTTGAGAAAAAAAGAAAATTCAAGGAAATATATAGGATGTAATTGGTATCAAACATAAAAATAGCTTAGAATAAAAGCTGTTTGTTTTCTATAAAATGCTCCGTGTTGCAGTCTTTTGTGCTAGAGACAGCTTGAGTTGCCAGGACTTTCCAAGTCAGCTTGTTTCCTCTGCCTTTATTTCGTTACCTCAGCAGGCCTCCTGCATCTTTTTTCACCTTAAGCATTAGTGGAATAGCTTTGAAGTTGCTGATTCTAGCTCATGCATGAAAGGGCCCAGAAATGTGACCTGCTAAGAGTTTTACTTTGACCTCATGGCACGTTTAGAGCACCAGGAATGAAATGGAGAATATCACAGCTTATTAAAGTTGTCCATTGCTTTTTTGTTTTCTGGCAGTCCTTCCCAAAGTAGGCTCATAAATGGCAGAAAAGTGGGGAAATTGTCAAGAATAAACTACTGGATAGAAGCCTTTGCAGATTGAATTTGTTTACTTTGGGCACTAGTCCAGAGTATTTGATTTTTCCTTTTTTTTTTTCTTGTATTGTAGGCAAATTTTTGTCCCTGGAGTATCTATATAGGTCTTTTCTAGAAACAACTTACAGGAGTCCCAGGTAAACACCTGGGAGTTTAGTGAGGATAACTCAGAAAGTGAACATTGTAGTGTACAAATCTTCTCTACACCGATTTTTCCCGGCTTCCTTGGCAGGCAGTTTGCCTCTGAGACCGCAGCAGGTAGGGACGGACCTAGGGAACGGTCTGGGATTTCACATTGCGCGCTGCCCTGGGACGGTGCTAAGGCTGAGCTTGTGTTTGTTAGTCTCCCAGCTGCAAAAATGGGAAGGAGCCTTAAATACTGCTTTGCCCCAAGCATGTTCCTGGCTTGGTCCAGACTTTGTAAACAAAGCAAAAAATAACATAATCTGGCATGTGCCGTGCCTGTGTTGACTTTAAAGATTTATCTCTGTGTAATTAAAGAAGTTGTAAAGTGAGCAATAAAGCAACATTGTGTGCTGGAAGTAATAAATTCAGAAAAATAATTACCAAATTTCCTTTTACCAGTTTCTTTACCTCTGTCTTTTATATTGAAGTTTTAAGGCACGCCACATTTCTGTGCTATGTCAAATAGGTGGAGACGTGTAACTGGATGTCTGCTTGATTCAGTAAAAAGGAAATTCTAGAGGCACAAATTAAAGTGTTGCTGTTAGGGGTGATCTGAGACCATAATTGAGCATGGTTTTAAAGGTAGGGGTAGTATTTTTATTAATATCTGGGGTTTTTTCCAGGCATTTTGCTGGTTATTGCTTCTGGCTATGAACCTTAAGCTGCAGCTCTAACATACTCAGGAATAGGGAACTGAAATTGTGTCCATGAACTTTAGAAGGGCTGAAGATAACAGTACTGCACAAAGATACAAGAGTAGGTAAAGAATCCTGAGTAGCAAAGTTACGTGGGTAAAGGATTGTTATATGCGTGGAAGGAAGTGAAACACAAGACACAAAAGTAAAATTGCGTTTGGAGTTGATCGTACAAAATGTGAACAGGCTGTGAAATCCAACCTGGTTTTCCAAGAGGCAGTCCTGATTTCTTAGGCATGGATACTCATGTCTGTCAGTCCAGGGATAAGAAGTGTGTGAAAAAGAGCAGGCAGACAGGTAGGGGGGATATTTGAGGGTGAAGAGGGAAATTTACTTTCACCCTTGAGAAACACTCGATTCAGAAAAGGCAGTCAGAGGACAGGAAAGGACTATCAAAGTAGGGCATGAAAGAAATTACAATTTTACGTCTCTAACCTGTTCTATAAAGCAGAGTTCTCCCTGGCTTTGCTGAGAGGCAAAATGGAACAAGGTCTAAGGCAAAAGTTGTCACTAGTAGGTGGAATCAAGTGTAACTCTGTGCTTAGTTAAGGGAAAATTAGAAACAGTTAAGAAGTGCTTGTTGCAGAAAATCAGGCTGTAATTTGTTGTTCTAGCACCAAGCATTTTCAGCAGTCAGTGCTAGTAAGCTTATTTTCTGTCTTAGGAAAAATTCCTAATTCCTCTGTTAGTTAAATACAATACCCATTAGAATTAGTGTTAAGAAGAATTAATCAAATGAATGTCTTTTCTTGAAGAGTTCAGGTGAGCAGAGTTAAATGAGGTTTCCAAGCTGAATTTTTTCGGAATATTAACGAAGTACACACATAGCTTGCACTGTGGAAATTATTCGAATTTTGGTTTCTAATGGAGAAGCTAAGTTCTTGGTAGGAGTTTTAAATGCGTTTGCTTTCGTCTTCTGCATTCGTGAATAGTTGTTAATTTTTTAATGACATCTGAGTAATTTTGTAAAGGAACTGATACTCTCAGCATGTTCTCTTTCTTCCTGTTACCGACAAGAACTTCGATGATCGTTGAACTTGACTAGCAGAATAGTTTTTACAACTGAAGAATGTTAAACTGCACAGTATAGATGGATGAAATCATCGTTATTGAGACTCAAGTGAACCAGCGTTTTCTAATTATGAAGAGTATCATGTTATTTTTTTCACAGCAATGCCGTACATTCCCCGCTGTAGAAAAGTTTGTGACACTTCCCACACTCTGGGACACAAACTTGCTGGTTTTGCCCTGCTCTTCAAGGAGATCCCAGCAATAAATAAGTATGTACTAAATGTGTGGAAGTGACATGAACTTTATAATTGGTTTCTTATGTACATTCCATTATCCTGAAGGAAGGAGACAGTGTTTATTTTAAATTAAAGTGCAAGATCGTTGTTACCGAGGAAAGGACGGAGTCCGAGTTGAGCCAGTATTATCCTTGTATTAAACAAAATGAGGCATTGTAGAGGTACAGCTGCTTTGGTTTTTCTCTTGATCTTTATCTGTAAGTGACAGATTTTGCTCAAAAACCTGAAAGTCAAAGACTTGTATTAGCAGTGGATGATTGGAGTAGTCAGGTCAGTTGTTTGAAAATTCGCCGTCCACCTTTTCTTTGTCAGTCACTGTGTGGGCATGTTTAATACCAAATCCTGCTTATCGCTCTCCAAGGGCCGTGTGTTTATATATCTTCACGTGATTATCTGTGCTCTTAATGACCTCTGTCTGTTCCTGCATCTGTGGGCAGGGCTAGGGTAAGTCCTAACATTGTTTTGTGCCAGAGCATTTACTGCGCTCTGAATACTTAGAGGCGGTTGTCAAGGTTTGATTCTCTAAGTGAGCTGAGATGCTTAAGAAATGGCACAGAGGAGGGGATAAACGAAAGTCTGTAAAACAGGAGGGAGTATTGGAAGAGAAATGAAGACAATGTAATTCAGTGAAGAGACAATAAAAAGGAAAAAAAAAAAAACCAACCAAAAAACAGTGAGTTAGGGTCTGTCCTCTGCTTTTAGATCATGAAAATGCAACTCAAGGTGATGGTAATATATGGCATGACTCTTCAAGTGTGTGACTGTTAAGTACCATAAAGATGGTATAGATCATAGAAAGCGATATTCGAGTCATGAATGAAGATAGCTCATGTTGTGAGAGCATAAGTCATAGAATCACAGAATGGCCTAGGTTGGAAGGGCCTTAGAGATCATTTAATCCAACCTCCCTGTCGTGGGCAGGGACACCACCTCTCGACTAGACCAGGCAACACATGGGGACTGAGCAGGAATCGAACTCGCGACCTCGGTGTTGTCATTGTTGTCCACACCACGCTCAACCCAATGTACTTTCTCATGTGAGGGTGATAAAATACTGCAAAGCTCTCCTTTTTTCAGGTGACCTACTAACCCAAGTGTTGGAAGCATTAAGGGAAGGCAAGCATTTGGCACTCTGTCTGGTTGCCGCCGTGAGTTCTGGTGGTGCTCAGAAGAAGGTTTCAGGTGCTGGACAGTCCTGATGGGGAGTGGTGTTACGAGAACCCTTTTTAAGTTCTCTCCCCTTTTCTGCAATTCTTTTTCTCTAGAATTTTCAAAGTATGTAATAGCCAGTCTTCATGATTAAAGGCCTTTTCGTGCTTCGTGTTAATTAAAACCAGATGTAATACTCATAACTACTAATCTGTGAATTTTGTGGCTTGAGGTTTACTTTGCATTGCGTCATACTAGCATTAGTTATTTTGCTTTGTCACTGTTATTTTCACAAAATTCTTGGTTTTCCCCTCAGAATTAGAGCGAGACTTCCCTTAGCCTCATCCACAATGATTTCAATCTACTCTGTAAAACAAAACCAAACCCAACACACTCTTTAGGGAAATTACAAGGGGGAATTGACTTTTCACTAAAATGGCGTGTTACTAGCCCTTTCTTTCTTACCATTTTCTTTTACAGTATTCATCTCTCTTTTTTTTTTTTATTGAATTGCATTTAAATGAGGAAATACCAGAGGTCGTAATTGTAGTAAAGAAAGTGAGAGCATTTTTTTCTGAGTTACTCCTCAGTTTATAAAGGTATTTTTGTACTGAA